AGCACGCCGTCGGCCAGAGTGGTTAACTCCCTTTTGCAAAGGAAACTGCAGGAGAAACGGCATTGGCCGCAGTCATCCTTGTGAGTCTGGGGCTGGAAGCAGAAGTGTCCCTAATCCCCCGCTTTTGTAATCGGAGAGCAGTCCTCCTGCCGGAGATAATCCCAGCCCTTGACGCTGCAGCCTCAGTGCTCAGCACTGGAAGCAGGACCCCAACGCTCCCCTCTAGAGCTGGGAACAAACGGGAAGAGCCCCTGAGCAGGCTCGTCCCTCGCAGAGCAGCGTGGCTGGGGACAGCTCACCACAAAAAAGGGCTGATAGAAACATTTTGAAATCTGGAGGCTGGATGCTGCTGTAGTACCCACTCATAGCTGTGTGGCTGCAAAGGGCAGGGCAGGCCTGCCACCAGGGCTGCTGCCTCCCGCCCCAGGGAGGAACCGGAGCAGGGCAGGAACAGCAGGCTGCCAGCTCCTGACTCACACTTCCAAGCCCTTCTGGATCACTTGGGACGGAGATGTGCTGTCTCCCTGTTCCACGTTACACTGAATATCGATGTATGTCACAGAGTGGGGGAGAAGGTCCCTCAGGACAAAGTCACTGTATCCAGCAACTGTCCCAGAGGGATGCTGCACAGAGAAGCGGGCAAGGACCTGGCCCAGCAGGGAACTCCCCAGAGTACCCCCAGTTAGGACTGAGGCAGAAGCCTTGGGGTACAACCTCGAGGGGTGTCACTCGTGCACCACCCGCCACATTCTCACAGATGCAGCTGGAGACAGTAACTAAAACATCCATCTCTATTTCAATGGCAAGAAACAACAACATCCAAACGGTCCAAGTCGAAAAGCGACGGGAACGCAGGCTCACGCCAGGCCCTCGGCCTGCTGGAGCCGGCACCCTCACAGAGTTACAAAAATACAGTCCTACAACAGCATCTAAGAAACACAGACCCAGGTATTGCACAGAACCCCTGCCCTCTGTGGGCAGGGCGACCCACACCCCCTCCGCCTTCGCCGAAATACAAGCCAGGCTTGGAATTGCACAGCAACTCAGCTCACGCGTGCACGGAGAGGCCAGGCGGGGAGGGGGACAGTGTGTCTCTCAACTACCTGTACAAAAACTATAAGGAAAGATACAAAACTGGGGAGAAAGGGGGAAGCTGGGGCTGTAAACGCCTGCGGGCCAGGCTGGGCGTCCCGGCTGGGGGCAGCAGTTTGCACCTTTGAGAAGATGACAGTGCCTTGTCTGTCAGTGGCCAGCAAGCAGTGCTGATGGGAACTCTGGGCACTGCTGGAGCATCCCAGCTCTGAATGTGTCAGGACGCTATTGTCATTAATTGCCAATACTGCTGTGCTGGCCCCTGGCACTCTGCACTGCCCTGCGCCTCTGCTCCCCACCACAGCATACCCCGTCCTCCAAGGGAACTCTGCCCCCCAGCCAAAAAGCCTTAAGGGTATTCTGGTTCTCTGCAGTAGCCTCATACCCTTTTTTTGGTATTGGTATTAGGAGAGATTCGAACAGTGCCACCCAGCACTACCCAGCAGGCGCAGCTGGGTGTGAGTGCAGGTGGGACCACACAGACCCCATGCGGCAGCAGCATCCTCTCCTGGGACCGAAGCTGCAAGCAGCAACCCGCTTTGCAACTGCTGCCCACCCAAAGGTGCCAAGCAGGTCTGCAAGGCCCAGAGCCATCAGCCCTCCTCTTCTCCTGGTACCTCCTGGTCCCAGAGACTGTCAGTGCTGCAAAAGCTTGCTGAAGGGCTGGCTTGACGCCTCTGCGGATGCTCAGCACCCACAGCGTCCACAGGGGAGATGGGTTGTGGTGCCGCGTGCCTCAAGGCAGGTGGTAGGTGAAATGCCACCCCATTGCAGGTGTGACTTGGGCCTGGGAGCCCTGATGCTTCCTATGCATCCAAATCCCTCTTTCTGCTAAAACTGGAGAGGTTGAGCTGGTGGCCTGCCCAGGGAGCTTGTGCCTGGGCTGGGCAAGCTCCCAGGTTTTCCCTGCAAAGCCCTGCACCCAGTTTGGCAGGAGTTGGACTCAGAGGATGCGTGTTGACAGGTTGGGGGGCATGGGGGAAATCCCTGAGAGCAGCACTGACCCCAGCACTGCCCCTCCAGCCCAGTGCAACATCTAGCATCCAGGGGGGAGCTGAAGCAGGGAGGGCAGCCGGATCCAAGTCAGCATTTGGGGAATATAACGGGCTCCACCGCAGCCACTGCCCAGGCCAAGCACAGCTCTCCACCACAGCTACGTGCTGCAGCAGGCTCACGAAGAGATGCCCAGCAGACACCAGGTGTGCAGGCTGTCCCACCCAGCCCTGCAGAGGGAAGGACGGTGGGAGGGCTCAGTAGCCTTCCTCCATGCCATCCCTGCCCTGGGCCAGACTGCCGGCTGGCTGAGCACTAAAGGCAACTGGGAGGGCAGCAGCTGCCCTGCTTCCAGCTGCGCCAGCCCCAGATGCTCTGAGGAAAGGCTGGGTGTGCCAGGGACTTCCCTCCTGCTGCAGAAGGCCCCAGTAGGGCAACGCAGAGACCCAGGGCAGCCCCAAACCGACAGGAGGGAGGAGGAGGCAGGGGCAGTAAGTCATTGTGCTTCCCTTGAGGCAAAGTCTGAGGTTCGCGGCCTCTGTTGTCTGCCCGCACAGCCTGTGCCTCCTGCAGCTGTGCCAGACAGGAGAGGAGGAACAGGACATGAACCTAGCCAAGCATCTAAAGAAGGGGCACTGCCGGCAGGGAGAGGGGACGAGCAACAATATCCCACAAGGATCATAGGTATGAGCCTGCGGATGGGCCACTGGCATCACTCCCATGCACAAGGGTGACTCGGGGCTTCAGCCTGGCCTGCCCCAACAGGGCTGCAGGATGGAGCCCATCCAGGGCAGGGAACATGGTGGATGAGGGGCGAAGGGGGACACACATAAAGAGCCAGGTTTCAAGTCCCAAATACCCACTGTCCTCATAAACAGAGTCCCAGCCCAGCCTGGGACAGAGCTCTGCAGTCTCCATCTCCTCCGGGGACCAGGCTGACATCTAGGGAGGGCTGGGCCAGACTCACAGCTCTGCCAGTTGCCATCATCCTCTTCTCATCCTGCCTGAGCTGGCTTGGGCTAAGGCACGCTAAGCACTACACAGCTGTCTCCTGGTCCTCCCGCTGGATCATCTGGTAGTGCTGTCGGTTCTCGAGGTAGGCAGCTAGGTCAGGGTCGTTGGCTTTCTCAGCCCGGTGCTTGGGGGTGTCTCCCTGCACAGGGGAGGCAAAAGATGTCAGAGCGCCGAGCACTGCCTAAACGCTGCCTTGGCACCCAAAGGTGCTCCCATTCCCCCACCAAAAAGGTGGCTGCAGCTAGGTCCAGCAGAGCCTGCAGCCAAGCCCCGAGGTGGACAGTAGCCAAATGCCCAGGTGCTTGCCACGGAGCAAAAGCGTGCTCCCAAGGAGCCCAACTTTGCTGTGTGGCTGGAAGCTGTCCCCTGAAGGACCATTGGCCCTGTGTGTGGGCCGGGACAGAAACTATCCCTGACCGTCACCAGCCCCCTGAGAGGAGACAAAGGTTGGTCCCCGTGACCCGCTCTGCCCCGGAGCTGGGGAGGCAGGCGGGAGAGGGTGAGGAATGAGGGGTATGTCTGGGGAATGCCCGGGAATACCAACCCCCCTTCCCTCTCTCAGCCTGGCTAGCGCTCCTGCTCCCGGAGGAGGATCACATTTCACCAGCTTATTGCAGCCATCTGGACTGTGTCCACTAATGAACTCCCGCACTCCATAAAAAGCAAATCTGTTAACAGCTCCCAGCTCCGTCTCCTCTCCCCCTTCCCTCCCCCTGCTCCTCGCTCCTCCTCGCCAAGCGCCCAGGCTCTGCCGTGCTGCTGAGAAAGGCCACAGAAACCTGGCGCTCTGCCACTGCCATTGAAAACCATCCCCGGAAGGGATGCCCAGCCTGCCCAGCTCGTCCCCTGGTGCGCAGTGGGGCACGGGTGGCTGCAGTGGCGTCTGGGGCCTCCAGGGTGACCCGCAACCATATTTCTCCAGCAGGAACAATGGTCAGAAACATGGAGCCCCCACCAGGCTTGGATGCGGCTGTGGACAAAAGCTCACCTGCGCACGGCTGTGGAGAGGTGCGATGCACCAAGAAACCCCCTCTTTTGCATGTGCCCCCCAAGACCTGGGCACACACCATGGTCCCACACACACACAGGCAGGGGTAGGGAGACTGCTCTGTGCTTCGGTGCCAGCTCTCCTCAGGGGCCTCCTCTCCGCAGCCCCTGAATGCAAGCACTCATTTAACAAAGGGGGGGAAAGACCAGAGGAGGAATTGAGTTTCTTTCCGTCCCCCTGCAGAAGCCCCACTGCAACGCTGCCTGCCCGCAGCCTGAAACCGGAGCTGCCAGGGCCCCTCTGCCCAGCCGAGCTGAGGCACGCCAACCGATAAGGCTCAGCCTCCCTCACCGCTGTAGAGTGCAGGATCTGTCCACTCCAAACCCGTGCCACAGGTCTGACACTGGGGCTTCTAACAAGGTGGGCTCATGCCTGTGCAGGCAGGCTGTGACCCAGGGCCCACGTGAGGTCAGCGCAGCAGCGCAGAGGGGTCCCCAGACAGCTACAAACCTGGACACGTGTTTGCACAGGCATGTGCAAGCCCCATTCCCCGGGGCAGCCGTCATGTCTGAGCAGGGCTCCCTTTTGTGCTGGCAGGTTGGGGGCTGCTCCCCTCCTTCAGGCAGATGAGGGGGCTGGAGGCAGAGAGGGGCTGTGCCCCCAGAGCTGCCCTCTCCCCTTGCCTCTGTCGGCTGAGTCTCCAGCCAGGGCAGCTCTGCTCCAGGCACTGTGCAAGGCCCAAGCCTTGGCCAGGACCAAGGAGGAGCGATGCTCCAACAGCAGAGCCAGAGACTGTCTGTACAGCATCTCCATGGCAGCTGGACTGCACATTGTCTGAGGCCGCCCCCAAGCTCCACTAGCCCCAGCAAGTTTGCACCCTCCGGCTGGGCTCCTACCCTGTGTCCCAGACCCACAGATTGCACCTTCTCAGCTTGTTACTACATAGGCTCTGCTACAGTCCATCGCTATGACATCTCCATGGCAGCTGGACTGCACATTGTCTGAGGCCGCCCCCAAGCTCCACTAGCCCCAGCAAGTTTGCACCCTCCGGCTGGGCTCCTACCCTGTGTCCCAGACCCACAGATTGCACCTTCTCAGCTTGTTACTACATAGGCTCTGCTACAGTCCATCGCTATGAGCCTCCACCAGACAGATGCGACCCCGTCCCCTCGCCCCCATCATGGCCGCCCATGGGGGAGAGCAGAGGGAGCCCTGCAGCTGGGAGGGAGCTCACAGCGAGAATGTCCTTGCTTTGACCCCGGAGGGTGGGAAGGGGGAGACGGGGATGAGACATTCCAGCCCCTCGCTTCTAATTTAATAAAACAACAGGGAGAGAAGTGCAGGGAGGAGAGGGATTTAACCCCTCTGCAGCTGGGCTCTGCTGGGCAAGCATGGGTGCTTCATGTCAGCTCTTCTCTGTCTGGCAAAGACCCCAGCCAAAGCACCTTTGCTCTGCTCTCCTGCTGACCCCACTCCTGCCAGCCCTCTGGTCCCCCCAGAAAGCCCCACTGCCAGCCCTCCCGCCGTCACCTGCAGGTCCGTCTTCATGAGTGAAGCCCCGGCTTCCACGATGTAGTGGCAGATAGTGCGCGTGCGTAAGGCTGCAGCCTGGTGCAACCTGGTTTCACCGCCG